ATTTTAATGTTTCTGTTTTTATTCTATATGTATTTTTTATTTTTATGTATACTTATACCTGTATATTTAATGGCCAAAAATCATGTTAATTGGATATTAGAAAATTATTATGATCTGTGTTGCTATAACTAAAATTTTACCTGCTTGAATAAGCAAATGAACTCATGAATCGAATCAAGACTGAAACTGAGTTTATTGTTTTCTAATTTTCCACAGCATATTGCTTTGTTCATTCTGCCTACTTCACTTGCTACATATTAATCATGTCATTGATTTTTTTTCTCTGAGATGAAAAGATAAATATATCTTCTCCTAACATGGTGGAATTTCATATCTGTCTGCTTTTCCTATCTGTGCTGCTCTCCCAAGATGAAACTGGTAGATCATTATGTTAGAAATTTTAATTTTTTCTGAAGAATACAACTGGAGAAAATTGTACAGCATACATATTGCTATTCAAAAGAGAACAGATGTTTGACAAAAGTACATCATCATTCACATGCTTGAGAACATTAGCCTTCACTCCTAGAAATATAATGTAATTCATCCTAAAGAAACAAAAGGCAACTCCCTACTTGCTGAGATGCTCTTGGCCAGAGTCCTCATGGCACCTATATGTATTGATTGAATTATTGTTCTGAGGTGCAGCACGTCCTCAGAGCTGCTTGTTATACTGTCATGAACAGTATCTTAAACTGTATATATATTTTTTTCATTAACTCAACAACGGTATTTGACACTCTCAATTAGATTAGGCTTCTTCAATATATCGGGAAGTTTAACTCTCTTGACAAGCTCCTCAGGCTCTAAAGTCTAGCTCCATACCAAGAACTTGGTCTTCAACTTTCCTTTTCTAGGCATGTGAAACAATATTAATTGATAGTCTCAGGCAGAATCAACCCATCTTCTGTGCACACATGTGACAGCATAATAAGATGCAACATGTGGTTCTGCAAACAGAAACTGTGATGATAAACGCAGAAGGGCATGGTCGGTCTACTCAGATATAGTGTTTGCCCATTAATTAATTTGCTAACATTAAGATACCCAGAGCAACAGAAATACAGCGCATTGTGATTTACAAAGCACTTTCACATAATGTCTGTGATCTGATGTAATTCTTGCAGCAAGTCTGGGAGGTAGGTATCCAGGAAAGAGGATATTTTCTCTATTTTATAAGTGACGAAACAGGCTCAGAAGAGCTAATGACTTACCCAAGACCAGTTTAAATCTGACAATGGAATATTTACAATATATGAAAATAGAAATTTAATTTCCATATATGAAAATGGAAAGGCACATTCATT